TATCTTATTTTTTTCCTATGTTTTGTCCAAATCTCCACCTAATAAACTACTATTTTAATCTTTATTTCATTTATTTTCAATATTTTTCTATATCTGCAATTTAGGCCGATCCAGACCCAATCCAAATCGCTAATTGAGCGATTCAACATACATCTATAGGTGAATGATCCACCCCATCAATCAGAGTTTTAAAATATTAGTTTATGTTCATGGATGAAAGGGAACCCAACAAAATGGACAGAATAACGTGTAAAAAAATAAATAAATAAATAAAATTGTGAAAGGATAAAGTCACCATACTCTAACATCATTTATATGAATACTTTTCATTCCAACAACTCTTTTATTCATTTATTCATGGATGAAAGGGAACCCAACAAAATGGACAGAATAACGTGTCAAAAACTAAATAAATAAATAAAATTGTGAAAGGATAAAGTCACCATACTCCAACATCATTTATATAAATACTTTTCATTCCAACAACTCTTTTATTCATGTATTTGCTTGAAAATCGCTGACCTTTCAATCCTGCTCACTGCTCTTATTACTCAGTATTTCTTGGTTGTCGAGGTCCTTCCCCGAAAATAACCCAAGTTTAAGGGGCAAAACCACCAACTTCACACTAATTACCCCTAATATGAGAGGATTAGTCTTAATACGAATCAAAATGACCGTTGGGAACCGCTCAACAAATCCCCAACGGTCAAAGACCCCGTAAAAAATTTAAATTTTTGGAGCAACAAAAAGCGGTGATTTCCTCCTCCTCAACCAATCTCATTTACTCTCACATGAAGAGAGAGAACAATAAAAACAGTAGGGTCAAAACGCCCCTTCGCCATTAATTCCTGCCGATTTAGGTGGAATTTAAGGCGGTTTTACAAGCCTGAAATAGCGGTTTTCCAATCCCCATAAAGTCGTTTTTATCATATGGTTTCTGGTTAATGGTTTCTGGCTTTAAATTTGCCAACGACCTCTGTCTCTGTGGGGTTTAATTGATGGTGCAGACCAGTCTGGCGCCATTAAAGGACCTGACAAACCTCTCCTTAACTTCCCCTTCACTTTATATACCACCCCACAATGTGTACTCAAACCACGTTTGGACTTACAAAGCTCCTGTTTTTCCATGTAATCGCAGAATTTCAAACATTTTTGTCATAATGGGGCTGATTGGACAGGGGTTTTAGGAACAGGGGTCTCTGGTTTTGGAACCTTTTGGGCTTTGGAACTGGATCTTGTATTGGTGGTTTCTTTGCACTGGTTTTTTGGCTCTGGGTTTCCAGGCCTTGAAATTGGGGGGCTCTGGTTTATTTGTTTTCTTGTGGTTTCTTATTACGCCAGTGTGGTTTTGAGGCGAGTCTTGAAGTTCTGTGATTGATTATTCGGCAATGTGGATTTCTTGGTTTCTATTTTCGGGAAATGTGGTTTTCCTACTTTCTGGTTGAGCTGCTTTCCCCAGGTGATTCATGCTAACCAGCGTTGAACAAGAGTGGACTGAAGCTTGAAACAGTGTTTCTAGCCCTGTTTCTGGTATTTTGGCTACTCATTTCAGAAGAGAAGCTTTAGTAGACAACCCAAAAGCAAGTTTTCCTCAGCAGTCTTACAATGTCAACAAGGTGGATCCTCCCATGCTGAATGTCCGGCAAGCTGTAAACAGTAAGATCGTGATTCCTCACACTTTACAAAACCTATCTCTTGCTTCACTCTCATTGCATTTGGTTTTACTGTCTGTATTCACACTTCCTAAGCTTAATTGCTCCATATTCAGGTCACTTTTTCTAGCCAATTATATACTTTTCTGGCTATTTTCTGTCACCCCTAAAGTAAGAAGCTTATTTATCTCCATTGATTCACCAGCTAAACCAGAAACCTCTAGATCCACAGCGTAAACTATTCAGAATCACTTCCTTTCCACATTTTTGTAGTCTAAGACGCTAAAGCACTCAGATTAATTGGTTTCCGGCCGTTATCGAACCAAAACCACATATAATCAGTGGTTTTCCACCACCCCAAAGGCAAAAGCACTTAGAATCGGCAGTTTTCCATTAACCGAGACCCAGAACCACTTTCAAGCACCAATTTCTGGCACCATAAAACTGCCAACTTAAAACCACCGGCAAACTACACTCGCCAACTTCAATCCCCACCAAACCGCTGCCCAGCCAACAAAAAACTGCTTTTGCTCACCATAAAGCCTATCTTTTGTGACCCCAAGACCGCTTTTCACCCCTCATGGAACCACTTTCAGTCGACCCAAAATCCCTTTTTGGTACCCTGAAACCTCTTTTTCCTGGTTTCATGGAACCAACAACTGCCATCTTAATTTTGACGACGATGGTGGCATACTTGATCTGGTTTGCTCGGATCCGGCGGTCCCTAACGGGTCCACGGGTCTGGCCCCTTTTGGGCAGCCTCCCCGGCCTATTCCAGAACAAGCATCGCATGCATGACTGGATCGCCGAAAATCTCACCATGTGTAAGGGCACATATCAAACTTGCATTGCAGCTGTTCCTTATCTCGCACGCATGCAAGGCCTCGTGACAGTCACTTGTGATCCCCGAAACTTGGAGCACATCCTCAAAACCCGCTTTGAGAACTACCCAAAAGGGCCAACATGGCAGGCGGTGTTCCATGATTTGTTAGGTGATGGGATCTTCAATTCAGATGGTGACACATGGCGCTTTCAAAGAAAAACCGCTGCGCTGGAGTTCACAACGAGGACGCTTCGCCAGGCCATGGCAAGGTGGGTGAGCCGTTCAATCGAGAATCGGCTGGTGCCGATCTTGGCCTCGTGTCAGCTCAAGAATGAGGCTGTAGATTTGCAAGACCTCTTGTTGAGGCTCACCTTTGATAACATTTGTGGCTTGGCTTTTGGTAAGGACCCTGAAACCCTGAGGCCTGGCCTGCCATTCAATGGATTTGCTTGGGCTTTTGATAGAGCTACAGAGGCTACCTTAAATAGGTTTATCTTGCCTGCAATTATATGGAAGTTGAAGAAATGGCTTGGACTAGGGTTAGAGGTAAATTTGAGAGAGAGTGTAAAGCAAGTGGACAAGTACTTGGATGATGTTATTTGTAAGAGGAAGCTTGAGTTGTCCAGCCAGCAAGAGAGAGGGGCCACACATGATGACTTGTTGTCTAGGTTCATGAGAAAGAAGGAGGGCTACTCTAATGAGTTCTTGCGCCATGTGGCACTCAATTTCATCCTCGCGGGACGTGACACATCATCGGTTGCTCTGAGCTGGTTCTTTTGGTTGCTGACTCAGCATCCGAGGGTGGAGGGCGAAATCATCCAAGAAATTTCGAGGGTCTTGACAGAGACTCGGGGACGGGACCCAGCAGCTTGGGTGTCCCGGGCTCTAGAGTTCGAGGAGGTGGACCGACTAGTTTATCTGAAGGCGGCTCTTTCCGAGACTCTGAGGCTGTATCCTTCTGTTCCTGAGGACTCGAAGCATGTTGTCGCAGACGATGTTCTGCCTGATGGAACTTTCGTTCCCGCAGGCTCTTCAGTGACCTATTCCATATATTCTGCAGGGAGGAACCCTGCAGTGTGGGGTGCAGATTTTCTGGAGTTTAAGCCTGAAAGATGGCTAACCCCTGACAAGAAGGGCTTCGCAGGGCCCCTCGACCCTTATGCTTTCGTATCCTTCAATGCAGGCCCCCGAATTTGCTTGGGGAAGGACTTGGCGTATTTGCAGATGAAGGTGGTGGCGGCATCTGTTTTGTTGAGGCACAGTCTGACTGTGGCTCCAGGGCATGTAGTCCAGCAAAAAATGTCGCTCACTTTGTTCATGGAACAGGGATTGAAGGTGCACGTCCATCCTCGAGTGCTACCTGTAGGCGAGGAGGCAGCACTGGGCACCTGAGATATATAGTTCCTAATTTGATACTGGGAGTAGTTAGGGTAGGACTCTTTGCACAGTGGACATGAACAAGCTCCTCCTACTCTTCTCAGTTTTCTTTCCTAAGGGTGTTGATATATATTCTTTACTTTTTGTGTCTCCACCTTGGAGAAAATTGCTAAATGTTAAAGAACAGTTGTTTACGGCAAATATGAAATATAGTTTTTTTATTTACTCCAGTGTATACTTCCTTAGTGGTGACCTAGTACAAATATGGTTAGTAAAGACATTTTCAGAGGAAATTATTTTAGTTGCTAATTTTCATATATGAGATGTTGTATCAATTTCCAAGTACTTTCCATATGATGTAAGGCTCATCTGCCTTCAGGGTTATTTTCCTTCTCTCTTGGGTGGTTTCAAGAATTCAAATCCAAGTATCTTGTACTTCCATTTCTGAAAACTTTAGGATAGGATAGTTTCTTTCTTGGAGAAAGTTTATATAAGAATGCTACCTTATAATGTAGAACTATGGATGCCCCTCAAAAATCCATCGGAAAAGGTAGTCTTAGTGTTGAAAAACCCTTTGATTGATCATCTCGACATCGAGATGTATGACTATGATTTTATATATTTATAGATCTATTTGATTTTAACCATTTTTTAAATTTAAAATTTTATAATTAGATATAAAAATAGATTTTGAGATAATCCTAAGAACATTTCATATCAAAATTATATACGATGATAAAATTTGAAGGTGCACCTTACCTCTACACCTACGGATGTATCCGTATGCAGACTGCACCCTTCTTTCATTGAGGAAACAGTGAATCTCTACTAGCACAAACAAGAGCACTTGAAACTGAGGAAATCTGTGTATAAATACAAAAAGTCCATCTCAAGTGTTCTGATCTACTCTGAGTCGCATGTTTTAACTAGCAACTTTCAAATCTTAGTCTCAGCAACATTTGGGTTTCTGATCTCACAATCTTTCTAAAGTTGGTGCTTCATAAGATTTTCCTTATGGTAATTCCATATACCAAGAACCTTATCAATTCACAATTCATGCACACGATTGCTGGAATTATTGAATGCATCCATGGCTATTGCTCTAGGAAAACCACACAGGATGATACATGCCACGATGAAATGAATGTTCATCTAACGTTGTGATGCACATGTAATGCACATGTTTGCCATAAACTTGGATTGTAATGCACATGTAGGGAATGAAAAATAGTCAATGATTTAAAAATCTCCAATCCAACTAGATATCGCCCTATTCAGCTCGGAATCAAGACAAACAATTCCCTTGGGGGCCACCCAAAAATGGGGTGATTCTCCCAAGCGTAGGTCCAACTACTAATTTTCAAGAAAATCTGTCGAGTCAGGCCTCAAATCAGCTTATTTGATACCTGACTCGGGCTCTGGACCCCACAAGTGCGATCACGAGTCCACCTTTTTAAACAATGTTGTAAGGGACAGAGATACCTAGTCCTAGCTTCCATAGAAAAGTTAAAGGCAAAGAGAAACCCGTGTTCCATGTCCTAAATCTTTGGCCTCACATCTGCTTATGGTACAATGTTAAACTGTGACCTGATTCACATGAGAGTTACACATGGTTAGTTCACATCACCTACTATACCAATGGGAAGCCCTTTGAGGAGTTCATGCAGTAAAGAAGGGTCATTTGACTTGCAGGGTAAAAAGGGTGTGGTTTATACAAGGTTGTAACCTTACAAAAATGGTATGTCCATACCTCTAAATACTTTTGGTACTCTATGATGACTTCGAAATCTATTTCAACATCTAAATATAACATTTAAAGCTCCAAAAAATAGTGCAGATCTTGCGTATCTATGAATACTTGAAAATAGACTGTTCAAATAATGTGACATACGATGCACTATTCTTGGGACTTGCCAACAGTTATATCGTTGATGGCCCATCATAGGCATCAAGCAGCTTGTAATGGTAAAAATGGTGTTATTTTGCGTAGGGTTTTTTTCAAAAGCACATTGTTTCCAATTTTTCTCCCAATTTGGCGTCCTTGTTTATATATAAAGTAAAACCGGATAGGTAAAGATGCCACAAGATAAAACTATCATTTGCATTTATTTTAAAGATACATCGAAGTCATTCAACAATAATTTTATGTCTTTACTTGTTTTCATTTAGCATAATAATTGACAAATTTTTCTCTAAGTTTTCATTAAGTACAACAACAATGCTTAATCTGCTTTCATGACGCATAACATAAAACGATGGTATTATGAATATACAATGAAATGACAAAAATACTAAACGCTATAAATGTATTTATAAATAAAAATATCTGCTTTCATGACGCATAACATAAAACGATGGTATTATGAATATACAATGAAATGACAAAAATACTAAACGCTATAAATGTATTTATATATAAAAATAACTGTAACCCAAGGTATAGGATTAATATAAGAAGGAAGCCCACAACATAGGAACGCAATTAACAAAACAGTAAAACCCAAAAATATGAAACAGTGGTCCTTTCAAATTATTGTGCTGTGTACACCAATAAAATAAAATTCAAAAAAGGTCAAACTAACACTTGGAGAAAAAAAGCAACAAGAAGCTTGCTTGTATTGAACAATATGTATAAGTAAACCCGAATATTCGAACCTCATCCCAAAATCCCAGCTGCTTAGTATTCAATTATGACTAAATCTCTCTTGCTTTTTATAATGATGTTCTCGGTTTAAAAAAAAAAAAGTTATTTCATTACCTTACTCTTCTATAGAATTGTTCAGGGAGTTTTTTTATCTTTCTTTCTAGGAATACGTTGTTTGTATTTTTTTTTATACAATTTTCTAAGGATATATGTTTGTGAAATTTTTTATGGAATTTTATGTTAAATCAAGATTCTTTATTAAATTCCACTTTTAAATCCTACATTCAACGATATCAAATCAAAGAACAGAATTAATTCTTTCAATAAAGTTATTGTAGGGAATAAGTTTTTTAAAAAAGTTTTCAAAAAAAAGATAAAACAGGCATTCATATAAGTTCTGTAAAAAAAAGAGATTTTTTTGAAGATCTTTAGAAAAACTCAGTCCTACCGACCCATACGACACTGGTTTTTTTGTTCGGAAGTGGCACCAGGAGCCTGACCTAGGTGATGCAAACTGGTCGTAACGGTGATCGACCCATCTCAGACGGGTTCGAAACGAAATTGATTAGTGCGTGGTGCTGCTGAAGGATTGAACTCAACTAACTAAGATCTTTCCCTCATGTATGTCCGGCTCCCACCCGGACGCAAGAACTAGACTCGGTGAGGCCCTCGAATGACGAAGTTAGTTTGAATAGAATTTTCTTCGAAAAGTCGAAGAATTATTTCACCCCACCGAATGGTGACAGAGTTCTTAATGGATTTCAAAAGATCGAAAGAAAATTTTTTAAAAATTATGTTTTAATCGGAAACTTACTAACAATGGTCCAAAACCACCTAGCATTGACTGCCAAAACTATATTCTACAAGCTTTCCCGTCTGCAGTGTCAAGTAAGATTTATAGTGATTACCTTGTAAAAATTTGGAAAATTCACATATATAACCCGTTAAAAAATTACAATTATAAAATAATAAAATATCTCCATCTTTCTTATTTTTAAGTTTTATTTCTTAATAAATTCGAGATTTTAAAACCTGACTAACTTTATCTACATTGAATCTATTTTTTTAACTGAAAAATTGCTAGAGAAAGTATTTTGGGTGGCTGGAATAAAGTTCTTTTCGGATTCATCATCAGATTTTGATGAAAAAAACTCGATTTCCAGCAATACCCACATGCGAAAATACAAGTAGACGATGGCATTTTTTAGAACTTCAGGGGATAGAGAAGCAATAAAAGAATCGCAACAAAAGTTTTTGTAGACTATAGAGAAGAGAGAGGAACAGAGGGTTATGATAGAGGAAGCTCGGAAGAGGCAAGAAATGGCTAGGGTTAGTAATAGCTCATGAGGGCTTTATCAGCTTCCAAAGATGCCGCCGTTATGAAATTTTTGCACAAGCTCTCCGGCCAAAGATGCCGCCGTTATGAAATTTTTGCACAAGCTCTCCGGCCAAAGTGTACAGATTCCGGGGAGATTTCAGGCAAGTGTTCTCACGGCAAATCTCGGTTACGCAAGAGAAACGGACGGTTACGGATGAGACACGGGGAGAGAAAGAGAATGGGAAATTATAGAGCGAGAGACAAGGGATTTGGGTCAAGGGAAAGCGAAAGGGGAAGGGAGAGAGAGAAGTAAGGGGCAGAAAAGGTTCAGAAATAGCATTCGTTTCTCGTATTTATTTCAGATAATAAAATAAGAGACTAGAATGGACGCTGGTTAGCTTTTCACTCGAACCCTTCTTATAAATTCGGTTTTTGAAAAATTAAGGAATTTCTTTTAGTACAAAAAAGAATATATTTGCAATAATGGAAGTTAAAAGGTATATATATATATATATATATATATATATATAT